CCTCAGCAGCCACTGTACACAGTATGAGCTGTGTCTCTGACTCGGGGAAGTAGGATCTGACTTGTGGAGACATGCCAATCAGTGCACAGTTGGTCACAACAGCTATCACACTCATGGCTTCAAAGGCGAGCTGCACACAGAGGTAGAAAGACAGCAACAGTTATTCGTTTCCACGAAGGGAAACCATACCTGGATGCTGGGCACTGCACAGAGTCAGCGATATGTCATTTTTAATGGAGGAGCTGTGTTTAGATTAGGACAGCATGTTAAAAAATACAATGACCTGTCCACAGAAAGCTTTAATGTTCAGAGTACCCCAATATCATTTCTGAAGGACGTCCAATATAGCAGTAAGGATGTGGAGGATATCTGTGTCCTTTAGTAGTTTATGGTTGTACAGCAATATTTGTTAAATAAAAAACTACCAAAAATCATTCTTTTCTCATAAACATCAGCAACTGCATTCAAAACTAAATGAAAATACCTGCCAGACTCCAATGTTTGCAGCTGGGTCGGCAAAGGGTCGTTTGAACACTCGGCACATCTTGAAGGCGTCAGAGTAAACCTCGGTGATGTTGTTTAACACCACAAGGACAGCAGCCAGAGGAAAGACACAGGAGAACAGACTGACATAACCAAACAGCAGGAAGAGCTCCAGGTAGTCATCAAATGTTCCCTGAGCAGGAATGAGACAGACAGACACAAATTAAAGAACGTCGCAGAAGACGTCATTTGATTTCTGATTAAAGATCACATGTACTGACCAAGTATGTGCTCATGTCGGCCTCGAGCCGGACCTGCTCTACCAGCGGAAGCTCTTTCTCCTCGTACAGTCTTCTCTTCTGGATTTTGCGAATCATCTTTTTGTTGCGTCTCCTCTGCAGCCAGTAGGGCAGGAAGGCCTCCATGAACTGATTCAAGATCTGACTGGTGATCAACAAGGTTGCCAAACTCTGGAAAGAGCGCAGACACAAAGAAATATCAACAGAAACCAGGGTAGAGGGAGGTGAGAGAAACAAAAGAAAGGAACTGTAAAAACTAGAGGAGCAGAACGATGGGAAGTAGAATCAAAGAAGGAACGAAGGAGGCAGACCTACCTGTCTGAGAAGCTCCATGTCCTGCATGACAAAGGCAATGTAGAAGAGCGACGCGAAACAGTTGAAGAAGTTGAACTAAAGAAAAAAAGAGTTAGGGCAGTTATGAGAAGTGAGGTGGTGATAAGAAAGGCTGCACTCTCATCAATAAAGGGTACAGTTGGCAGAAAACTGTGGATAACTCATTTCACTCACCACCAAGACTTTGAGCACCAGGTGATTTTGATATGAAGACTCTAGCCTGTGATTTTCTAAACACACGGAAAACATGTCAGTAATAACTCATCGCAATGTTCACAGCAGAAGCTCACTGGATGAAAACCAGTCAATGACTGCCAAAAATCTGGAACTCCAGGACAAAGCCTGACTTTTCCTGGGGTCAGCCCTTTAAAAACATTCCTTTTATTTGCCTTAAGAAGCATCTAAGTTACTTTTATGGTGTGTTTGTGTTATTATTTATCTCCAAATCTGTGAGAATGTTGAATTGAATCAGGGCCCATCAGACCTCATACTACAACATTATCCCAACGATCTAAGTTTGTGCTCACAGGGGATCACATGATTGCTGAGGTTCTCTCTAACAGTGTAGGGTTTTATCTTACAATATGTGTTTGGTTGGTTTATCCTATTGATGGCTTCACTTCCATTTACTGAGAGCTGTACTGTATTGTGTTGCTGTCACAAATAAAAAGTTTGTGATTGAATGATACAATGGATAAAACTCTAAACCTTTTGATCTCCCTTACTTGTCATAACTACATATAAAATAGTTATCATTCCAAAAGATTTAATGCAGTTTCTTCGCTAAACCATTTGAAATACACAATTAAAGTCTGTACTTTTATTGATCATCCATCATTAGCTTTTCATTTATTTAATTAAATCAGGTACACAAACTGATTTACTAATGCAACATGCATTTTACTGCCAATTGCGCTGAGGTTGAACGCTGGGGGGGGGGGAGCACATCTTACTTTTGTGCTCAATATGGTGACAGTTGCTGCGCGGAGGAGGAACAAAAGTGTCGGTTACCAAGCTATCTAATTCTAAATTGGCTCAGTGACCTCAGAGATGACCTGGACCTGGATGACCGGCAACAAAACGTCTTACAACACTTTAGCTTTTGGTGTCTTGAACATGCTGTGGCTTCTGTGTCAAGAATTTCACAGCCTGCACTGTGGGGTTCAAAGTGAAATGGCTGAAGAACAAAGAGAACAGATGGATAATGATGTTAACTTTGGACCCCGTCCTGAAAGTAATCAGACCTCGGAACAGCAGTCCATTTTTAATTTTGATGTTTTGAATTGGTTTCATAGTTTGAAGGTGCTGTTTGCTTTTGTTCTGGTCAATTCATTTACATTCATCAACTTTAAAAACATATATTTCCTTAATAAAGTTTTTATTACACTCAAATGAAATCGTTCTAATTTCAGCAATATAAACGGTGCGGATAGTTTTCACCGTTATCTCATGAGCTGTGCTCTTAAACACATAACTGTTTTTTCATTCATCTGCATGATAATACCTAAGATGGAGATCACACACACACACACACACACACACACACACACACGATTATTGTAGGGTCTTGAGCGTATAATAAAAAATGAGACAAAATGGTGCACACTTAAAGGCAAATCAAGAGACTGTTGAATTAAAACATTTGAATTACAGGAAAACCCTAGCTTCACGCTGCATTGTGAAAACTCATCAGCTCTGGATTCTCTTGTAATATCATCAGCAATCAAGCCCTCTAGCCAGAGCTTGTATTAATGCAAGAAACATGGTTTGGTGTGAATGCACAATAATGAAAAAGTGGACTTACCCCATTCAGTGAGGAACTCGGCAGCATATCTGTAGATAAGGTTCATCGCCTCTATGACCACAGCATAGATGATACTAGGGATGAATAGCAGAATGTGTGTCCAGAATGTGGGGTTCTCATCATAGATGGACAGAGCCCACCCCTCCATCTGGAAGTAGATCATCATGATGTAGAGGGACAGGTAGAGGCAAAGCAGGACGAAGGGCAGAGACACAAGGTAGACACGCAGGTGCCTCTTGGAGGTGGGGTAGATAGGCTCTGCACGTCCCGTCACAGGGTTGTGACCAAGCACGCCGTGAAATCCAGGCCGAGGTTCTTCAAAGGCCTTTTTTCTGCACAGTGTGCCCCAGTAGTAGGCTAGTGAGGCACTGCGTCGCTTCCATAACTAGTGGGCACAAAGGTTCAGCAAGTCAGCTGAAGCATTTTAAAATTCTGTTACGATTTTAATAAACACTTTTGGAGTTAAGACCACATTGCAAGCAGCAGATGGTAATATTTTCCTTTACAATTAAAGGGTGAATTTTCTCTCTTGTTTAGTGTATAAAAGAATGAAAAGTTAAACCACACATCACAGTTAAACTTCTGAAGTGCTTGAAAAGATTCAATCCCTTTACATCAAAGAGCTGAAGATTCACTTCTACCGCTCCCGTTTTAACCCCTCCACCACCCCAGCATCCACCTGCAGGCTTTGGAGCATATTTACACATCACTGCCCAATTTCTATGTGTATCATATTTTTAGGATGGTGAGCATTGTGCCTCCACACACCAAACTATATTCTGCAGCCATCACAGATTAATAGATCAATAGGTAGAACGATATCATACTGCATACTGTTTCATGTCTTCTTACCTCCAAGATAACAGTGCACCAGATCAAGTTGAAGACAGCAAAGACTACATATTTGTCATAGTCCTCCCAGTCAAACAGATAGTAAGGCACCCCAATGAGGGCCATAGGCATCAGCGCAAAGGTGAAGTACTCCAGGAAGCCAAAGTAGAGAGCCTGGCCCTCACCATAGTAGTGTCTGATGTCGTCTGGGGATAGAGATGAAAGAGTCAGTAGTGATCAGGAGCACTGACAGTGCATCGCTCCAATTACAGTCTGGGGACATATTAGAAATGCAGATGTACAGAGACCTCTTTTGCAAGTGTGCATACTCCATAACGTGGACTGTTCGTTTTAATCACACAATGTATTCAAGAGTGACCATGAAAAATAATGGCACAAGATGCACTTACCCAGAGGCTGAAGCGACACCTTCACTTTTTTATACCAGGAAAAAGAAAGCCTCTTGAGTTCTTCGTTTTCATGCAGAGGAAACATCTGGATTAAGATCCCTTTGGAGAGCAGTCTGCGAACTAAGATGCAAGTAAAGAAAACAACAAAAAAGAGCATGTTACTTTCTGTCTCACCCCCCACTCTAGTCATGTACAGTGATAATAAAACAGGAAGTTTTTACTCAAACTTGTGAATTATTTGGAAGATATTCCACATGAAAACCTTCTGGCTGCATTTCCATCCTTCTCTTGAGTTTTTCTGAACTCACTTTCCCAACTAAATAAACATGCATTTCATTTTGTAAAACAAGGGCAGGCTAACAATAGCTGGGAGCCGGCCCATTCCACACAATACAATAATGACTATAGCAATAATTACTATTGTCCAATATGCAGCAGCTAAATACGAGCACATGAAAGCGCTATCATTTCATCTGCCATTTTTTGAGTGCATCATTTGTCAAAAAATAATTACATTCTATTTTAACACGATTTGTCAAACACAGGCGTTGAATAGAGGCACCCTATCTTCACTGCAAGTTCATTGGTTCCTTATCTCACTTTGGGACTATTTCACTGCATTTGCATATTTATTGTTTCCATACTGAAGACAGACGAAGGGAGGGGGTTGCAGAGATAGCGGGGTGGACGGAGGACAGAGTCTGTGTTCAGTCTACAATCTACTACCATTACTACTACAGGAATCTCTAAATCAAACCGCAAGCAAGTGTGGATGAACCGCAGGAGAGGCTCAAACAGTCAAATCTTGTCACAAGCTGAAACTGAGAAAAAAAATAGGAGTGAAATTATCTAATCTGTGTATCAGCTAATAAAAACATACTCTGCTGTGGCTAATGTTGTTATAAACAGGTTCTAACAAATGTCTTTCTGATAGTTTTATGATTAAATGCCGAGTGTATACTTAACTATGGTTGAGGAGTGATAAATCATTTAGCCCCGACTAAACCACGATTTACACAATGTGTTCTCTTTGTGCATCAAACAGACCAAAATGAAAACAGTCAAGTCTCTAAGATGAGAAGCTGGACCTGTATTCCTATACAAATGAAATGACTGATCAATTATCAAAATGTTTATCTGTAAGCGACAGAATGAAAAACAGTTTAGGGGAAGAGGACAAGCATAAAATTGGCCACAGCATCAAAACCCTGTATGATAATACTCTGCCATGTTTTACTCACATCACCTGTGTGTGGTTTTACTTCTGAGGTTGATCAGTTTCCCAGTTTTATTCTGGGATGTCTGCACATCCTAATTTAGTACAGTTTCCTGGAATTTCAGCTGTTAAATTCAGCAGTGCTATGAAGTACCGGCAATCTGTCCAGCATGCACCCTGCCCACCTTCAGCTGGATAAGCAACAAAGAATATGTATGCATGCAAGAAGGAACTAGATGAGACCATTTTCTTTTGTCTTCCTGTGAGTGAAATACACAACATCAGCAAACTGATCACTGCAAAGCTCATTTGCAACAGATTGAGACATGAACACAGACTCACTGATAGATTTCCCAGGGTAGAGCTTGGCATGACTGTATCCTGGAACATTAGTCTCCTCTTTGGCTCGCAGCGTGTCCAGCTCATGCTTGATAACATACTGACACTCAGCCATACTGAGGAAGCCGTCTCCATCCCCTGAAGAGATGGAACAGAAACACAGTGCCATTCACCACAAAGGCATGTTTTCACAGGCTGTTACAGTGACGCCACTTATTTCAGACAGAGTATGTGAGCGGTGATGAGACTCAGGGGCAGTGATCAGATTGATTTGTGTTGAAGAAGAATCAAATGATGCATTAAATTCTCCTTATTTATGCAATTCTGCACAGAGCTGACTTAACAAGGAGGCTGACAAATATGGTAGTGATACGAGTTACCTCTGACTGACTGTTTAAGGTTTCTGAAAACCAGCTAACACAAAGAAAGCCTGGCTGTGTTAAACTGCAAGGCTGCAAGTTAACAATAACAATAAGATGCTAGTCTAAAGCATACATTTTCACAAACTAAACAGTAGACTTGCCTTTAAAATCTTTGAAGTTGTGTTTGCTGGCAAAAGTGAAGGCTCTCATGGACCCGTCAGTACACTCCTTAAAGAGCCCCAGATCTTCTGCACCACAGAGCAGCCTCTGCATGGAGGCCCCCACCAAAAACATGTTGGGGTTTTCCTTCTCTTCCAACCCGATTCCAGGTCCCAACTGCTCCACCAGCAGCTCAGCACCTGGAAGAAATTACAGGATGAATAATACCACGTCAAACAAGGGAAGATGATTCGAGGGGCGCAGACGATCTTCCACACCTCCATTCTGTTGCCGGTCTCTTATCCTGCTCAGCAACCAAGCAATGGCCTCCTCCTTGGTGTCTGAGGCCAGCTCCAGCACCACCAGAGGAGCGAACCTGGAGCCACTGCTGTCTACTGACGACTCCTGCAGCATCGTCCCTCCTCCCAGGAAACCTGCATAACAGAAACGTCCTTATTTCCTTGAGTCCCAAGTGTGAAATACAGCACAGACTGCTGTGGAACAAGCTTTGCTTTGAACAACCAACAGTAATTATTGGTATTGCCAATAAACAGAAACACTGCTATCTGCTAGAAAGGCCTGTTTGTCACTATCATCTTCAATTTCAGTGTACTGCAAGGCCGACAGGGCAAGCTGAGCTCGTGCTAGGCCTAATCATCAGAAGTTTCTGTATTTCTACAATTCTGGGAGCTGGAGCCTATCACAGCTGTCATAGGGCGAGAGGCAGGGTACACCTTGGACAGGTCGCCAGTCTGTCACAAAGTTAGCTTATAGACGCAGACAGCTATACACACCCACATTCTCTTGTAATATTATAGAAAAAAAACCTATCTAGTAATATAGATGAAATAAAATTTGCCATTAACATCATGTATGCTATTGTACATGATGACAATTTTTCTTTAGGGACTCGCAGTAGAAGTACTTTGCTATTTTTCTTTCTTAAGTCAAGTCTGAATACAATAACAAAGTCTGTTCTTGTTTTCTTGGGCTCCCTGTCTCATCCTATTCACAGACTCCTCGAGTTCCTGCTGTGCTGTACAACAAATTCAAAATGTCTTTACATGACTAATGTAGTGTGTGAAATGACATCTTGGCCCAAAACAGGTAAAGAAATGACAGATAAAGTCACAATGTTCATTGAACAGGTTTACACAAGGTGTGTCAAAGCTACCCCTCCTTAGTCTGAACACGGACCTCCCTGCAGTAAAATCAACTAATCATACGTGGTGGAATCTGTACTGTGGGTCTGCTGCAGATCAGCTCATGTATGACCTGTAAGGAGAGACAGACCCAGAGTACAGACAGAAACAGCTGAGACTGCTGTACCCAGAAAGGGAGGAGCCTGTGTGTTAAAGAAAGCCCTGACATGCTGACTGCTACTCCTTCCGTACTTGTGTGTGTGTGTTGTGTGTGTGTCGTTCGGGCCAGCACAACACTCACCCAAATCTGTGTATGAAGCGGCAGTGTTCCAGGCTCGGGCCGGGAACCGTGATCATCTATTGTGAACAGTAAGAAAAGAGAAGAGCGTGTGGTGTTGTAAGCGTGCTGCACCCGGTGTTCCACGTCACAGAGCAGCACTGTCAGCTGTCACACCCACACCCACATCTGCCCCACTCCCCTTGTAGGGAACTTTAACACGGATCAGCGTTTTTTGTTTGTTTGTTTTTTACTGAAGCTAATTTCTGAGCTCTCTGTGGTGATCCTCAAAATAAATAAATAAATCGGTAGTTTTTAAAACTGACATTTTTGAAAATTTATTTTGCAGTCAACTTGTAACACTATCACTTCCTGTAAAAGAGTTGGGAAAGGTTGAAGAGTTTATTTTATGAAGCACGTTGAGGTTACTGCTGTGATTTCACGCTTTATGAATAAAGCTGAAGGAAACTGAATAATGTCCTGACACATTTCATCCAAACCAAATAAAAGATGGACACAGCCACGTGACATCGCATCCTCAAGTGACCCGACTACAGGAAAGGGTGGAGTGCTAAGCTATCTGGTATTAGCAAGCTGCATTCGTAAAGTGAGGAGCACAGGTTCTCATGTCAGCTAATTAGTGCTGAGTAACAGACTGATGAAAGTTAAAGTAAAAGTGAAGCACGAACATGTCTCTCACACACAAAATAACCCATAATATTAATCAAATAATCCATTAAAATTGCTCCGATATGCACAACCACAGGCGAAGAAGAGGCCTAGCTCCGCCTACCCGTGTCCCAAACACCTGTCAGTCACAGCAGCCACACCTCTAACTGTATTTATCATATAGGCAGATGAGTTATCCAAGACTAAGTATTGTTTCCAGTGCTGTGAGGCGTTTTAACATGGAAGTGTATGGAGACTGACTCAATGTCCAAATTAGATTTTCTTATTTATTATGTACAAATGTTAGCCTGGTGGCAGTGTTGGAGCACATGTGAGAGTAACAATGAGAGTGAGAGTAACAATGGGAGTGAGAGTACTAAAATTCAATATGATTCATGCTCTGAGCGCCACACATATTCAAATTTTTATTAAAGAGTATGTAGCGCTGATGGTCAGAAGCCCTGAAATATCATCTACAACAGGATTCAATTAAAATGCGCAGTTCAGTTAGAGGAAATTATTGACTGTGATAATCCTCCTTTCTGCCACTTAGAATGACTAAAATTTACAAAGTGGACTTAATGTTTTATTCAATATTACCCAAAATTAGTGACTAGGCCGATAAAGTTGTAAAAAAAAAAAAACAATATGATCTTAGGTACTCGAGCTATCCGGTTGTTAAGTGATGACGTGAGAATCCTACTTCCGGGCCTAAAGTAGTCTGCGTTTAATATGGCTTTTGTGTTGTTAACATGTTTAATGTTTTGTATTTTCTTCTATTTGATCTCAAAAAGCTCCTAAAACAGTCAGTGATCACTGTTGACCTCCCTCGGCTTTTATTACCGCTAATCATTTATTTAAGCTCAGTTTTTAAAACCTTAGGATGTAACTACAGCCCAGCCCATGCAGCAGTATATGAATGACTAACCTCGTATTGTGGATGGATTATCTCAGTTGTTCTCCTGGCTGAAGTTTGGTCCTTTTACAGCATCCTGCCATGCGATTACATTTGTTCCTGACCACCGAGAACACTCACGTTAACTTTTATCGAGTGGAAAAAAAGTTAGCTTGTTTATATTATGCTAACATAGCTGTGTCGCTAGCGGTCACGTAGCACATCATTATATACCAGCTAGCCCAACTTCAGTAACCCTACAAACGTCACTGCTGTTTAGTTTTCTGTCTTCATTTATGTTGGAAGTGATACAGAGCTGTACGTTTTAATTTGTTTCCAAAACCCCGCAGTCAGGACATGCTATATTGTATTTAGATAGAAGCTAGCGAGCTAACTTCCTGCTAACTTCTAACTCCGTTAAATGTCATAAATTCCGTTTTCATGGATGCCTGGATGTTAAACTCAATTGTTACACCTGGTAGAGCAGAACGCTGATCATTTTATTAAAGATGAAAGACTTTAGACAGTTTTTCAACTCTCAGTAATGCCATAGTGATCGTTTGATATATGGACCTGCAGCGGAGTTTAGGCCCAGACACGGCTAGTGACGTCAGACTTAACAACCGATTTCTACAGCAATGAGAGGCACACAGGTATCGACCTCTAGTGCCCATTAAAAAGAATTACAGTATAGGATATTTCCACAGACCCAGAAGCTATGTCCACCTTTTATACAGTTTATGGGTATCTGAACCATATGTCGTAAAAAATAAAAAATAAATAATAAGTTGGATTGTGGAAGTTGGATGTGGTGACTGTGATATCAGCCATATCAGTTTGCTCTTGGAAGTCCCAGCTGAAGGTTAAACTTCACTATGATTTCAGATGGGTTTTTACCTTAAGATATTTTTTACTGTCTACTCTACTGCTGTATGTACTGTGTGCACACACACACGCAGTCCTACCAATGCTGTCCCACTATTTGAATGATTTGATAGAACAAAGGGATGTAAGAATGAAGTAGGGCTGGGCAATATAGCCTAAAATCCATATCGCGATATAATTTGAAGCACGTGCGGTAACGATATATACGCGATATATTCTTTTCTTCTGTATAATGTATTTTACACACTATAAGGCACACTTAAAATCTTTAATTTTCTCAAAAATCGAGAGTGTGCCTTATGTATGAATTCTGGTTGTGCTTACTGACCTCGAACCGATTTGGGCGTGCAGAAATCTGTTAAAAATGTTTTAGTACAACTTTGGTAAGCCGCACTGCTTGATGGATTGTCAGAGCATTACGGCTGCCGTAGTGAGGAGCTTCCATGAAAACAGAATTTATTAAATTTAACGGAGTTAGAAGTTAACAGGAAGTTAGCTCGCTAGTTTCCACCTAAACATGACATACCATGTTCTGACTGAGAGATTTTTGAAACTAATTAAAACGTACAGCTCTGCTACCACTTCCAACATAAATGAAGACAGAAAACTAAACAGCAGTGGTGTTTGCAGGGTTACTGAAGTTGGACTACCTGGTATATAATGTTGTGCTACGTGATTGCTAGCGACACAGCTATGTTAGCATAACATTAGCACAGTGAAGCTGGAGGATGAACGCCAACTTTTTTCCCACTCGATAAAAGTTAACGTGAGGGATTCTGGTGGTAGGGACAAATGCAATCGCATAGCAGGATGCTATACACGGGCCAAACTTCAGTCAGGAGAACAACTGAGATTATTCATCCACAATACAAGGTTAGTTATTAATATACTGCAACAACATGGGAATAGAGCAGCTGCGAGAGAATTCAACATTAATGAATCAATGTTACGGAAGTGGAGGAAGCGCAGTTTTTGGCTTTCCCCATATTTCAAAAGTGCTTCATCTCTTTGCTATGACTGTCGCCCGCCATAATTTGCAGATGATAATGGTTGTAGCCGCTGCGATGCTTTCGACCAAAACAGGCCCTATCACGATAGAGCGATCTCTATCGTTGGCCAAATTTATATCGTTTCTATCGTATATCGTTTATATCGCCCACCCCTAGAACGAAGCACATATACATACTAACAATGTTAAATATAACTAAATTTACAGTGATCAGAACAGGTACCCTAACCACATGCTATGTTATTTTTAGCCTACGTATTGTCTCCAGAGGTTCAAGTATTACCAGTTATACAAGTAACAGTTGAACTTTCCACTGATCTCTCACGCTTCCAGTTTTGTTAAAAAGAAAACAGCCTTTGTATATTTCATTAATATAGCTCTCTGTGTGTGTGTGTGTGTGTGTGTGTGTGTGTGTGTGTTGGTCTGTATGTGTGTGTGTGTGTGTGTGTGTGTGTGTGTGTGTGTGTGTGTGTGTGTGTGTGTGTGTGATCGATCACATAAATTTCACTAACCTGGCCCACGCCTGTGCAGCTTTAAGTGACCACACCTGTGTGGGTGTGCGGAGTCTTTAATGAGTGTGATTTAAAACTCAAATCCCATAGCTTGTTGAGTTGACTTTGGATATATTTCTGTTAGGGATTATAATCAGTAACTGTTTTCATTTTATAATCCAGTTAGCTTGTAATGAAGGTAGCAGGATTATTTCTGTTATTTCTTTTACACCGAACACTGAAACATTTTCTGCAGTTACACAACAAATCTTCATGCTTCATCCTGACTGTGTCAGATTTTGGGAAAAAAAAATGGCAACTATCTTAGTATTTTAAACAACTTTCCTTAGGGTGAGTAAATATATATGTATGTGTGAATATAGCATACAGCTTTACATTTCACATTACGTAGCTTCTTTGTTCTCATGTTTAATTAGGAGTCCAAAAACAGCAATCGCTATGCTATGACTGCAAGAATCTGTTATAGTTCTGTAGTCTTGCTCCCACTTTTATTTGAATACTGGTGTCTGTCAGGAAGATTACACAAAAATCAAAAAAAAAAAAAAGAAAAGAAAAGAAATTGGTCAACATGTTGAAGAGATTAAACAAAGTTATAACATATAGGAGGAGGAGGATTCAGGGATAACAGGGATCACCCCTGATGGCCATTAGAAAAAAATGCAGGTTTACCCTGGACCTAAATATATACGTTTAGAGAAATTACGGGAAAATTAACAACTCCAGTACTGTGCAAAAGTCTTGATTCACCCCTGATTTCTTTGTATTTTGGTTACAAATGCCCAGAGTTTGTTGTTACTTTACAGTGGTCTTGAGCAATAGTTCTCCAGCCTTCTAAAGGTACAAAGAAAAACTTTGTAAATATATGTTTACCAATATATTTATTGGATTTTATATTCATAAATATCCAACACTTTAAACATCTTGAACATATGGCAGTAAGAAAGCAATAAAACCACAAGATACCCAAAAAAACAAAAAGAAATAATTTTTAAAGAAAAGAGAAGGAAAAAACCCAAAACAAACAAACAAACAAACAAAAACAACAACAACAAAACAGGAAAAAAACAAAATAAACATGGTACTTTAAAAGTTTTTCTTTGGACTAATACTTACAGTCCATGTATGTGTGTCATTAAAAAAAATTAAGGAAACTGGACAGATGAGAGCAAAAGTAGCAGTGACAGACCCCCCCCCCCCAAAAAAAAAAAAAAAAGAAAATGTATCAATACCAGATGAGAGTCATGAAATAAGACAGAAAAATCCATCAAAGACCCAGGACTTTCAGTCTGATCCAGCTATGGTTCACTGAAGCCATCAAACAGCCTCAGTGGAAGCATGGAAGAAGCTGTTGTTTAGTAAATGAAACAGAGAGCAAAGGCTGAGGTATGCCAACATACACAATAACTGGACTGAAAACCAGTGGAGTGAAAAATCCACATTTGAATTTTTTTGGTTCGATTTTTTTCAATACGTAAAGAAAAGGTCAGAATCAAAGTACAACAGTGACTAACTACAGCCATGTGGAAAACACAGTGGAGGCATGGTGGTGTTGAAGATCTTGTCAAAACTGGTAGAATTATGAATGCAGAAAAGATTTGTCCATCTGGAGAGCTTCTGATTGATAACAGCTAAATATTTAATTGCGGTAATGATCTCAAAAACACTGTGAATGCAGTAAAGGCATACCTTGATGGAAACAAATATAATGGTACACATCCATCCATCATGGATTGGCCTCGCTGGAGCCCAAATCTCAGCGTTATTTAAGCAGTGTGTGATCATCTTCACAAACGGAATGAAAGGCAAACACCCTTCAAGAAGCCTGTTTTTGAAGACCACTTAAATAAATAACAAAGCAAGTGGCCTCAGAGAGTTCAGCTGTGTGGAAAAATAAATGTTGTCATACCAAATATTGACTTTTAAGTCTGTACACTGTGCTTCTGTATATGTTTGCACATAAATCACATCCCATTCGCCTAGCACAATCTAAACGATGTGTGGCTCAAGACTTTTGCACAACACTGTAAATAAAACTTTTTTCTACATGTATCTTTCACGCTGCAGGTTACATGTGCATGAGTACCTGTCCCCATTAAATTTAAGACCTGAAATATCAGATAAGCAAGATAAATGAGTTTAAAGACCGTTGAGAACATTTCTAATGACTTGCAGGATGATTCACCGTAAGAACTGAACCGAAGAGCTGAACAGCAGCAGCTGCCCGCGCAAGCTCAACACTCTTGTGTTACTTTTAAATACCCGAGTAATGTAAAACAAGGAACACAAAACGGAGTTTAAATACTTACCAAGACCCACTTCCCCGATCAGCAGCAATGTTTAGAC